CGCTGAGGGTTGAGTTTCACAGCAAGCACAGCTGAGCCCGGGAAGGTCCAGCTCTGTGGGGGAGGGGCATCCGCCAAAGGAAAACAAAGAAACAGAAATAACATCACCACCAACAAGCTGGACGTTCACTCAGAGACCCAATCTGAAAGTCAGCAATTACAAAGACAACAGGTGGATAAATCCACAAAGATGGGAAGAAACCAGTGCAAAAAGGCTGAAAACATCCGAAATCAGAATGCCTCTCCTCCTTCAGGGGATCGCAGCTCTTCATCAGCAAGGGAACAAGGCCTGATGGAGAATGAGTGATGAATTTTCAGAAGCAGGCTTCAGAATGTGGATAATAAGAAACTTCTGTGAGCTAAAAGAACATGTTCTAACCCAATGCAAAGAAACTAAGAACCTTGAAAAAACGTTTGACAAAATGCTAACGAGAATAGACAATTTAGAGAGGAATATAAGTGAATTAATGGAGCTGAAAAACACAATACGAGAACTTCGCGAAGTATGCACAAGTTTTAACAGTTGAATTCATCAAGCAGAAGAAAGGATATCAGAGGCCGAAGACCAACTCAATGAAATAAAACGAGAAGACAAGATTAGAGAAAAAAGGGTAAAAAGGAATGAGCTAAGTCTCCAAGAAATATGGGACTATGTGAAAAGAACTAATCTACGTTTGATAGGTGTACCTGAATGTGACGAAGAGAATGAATCCAAGCTGGAAAATATTCTTCAGGATATTATTCAGGAAAACTTTCCCAACCTAGCAAGGCAGGACAATATTCAACTCCAGGTAATACAGAGAACACCACAAAGATATTCCTCAAGAAGAGCAACCCCAAGGCACATAATCGTTAGATTCACCAGGGTTGAAATGAAGGAGAAAATGCTAAGGGCAGCCAGAGAGAAAGGTCAGGTTACCCACAAAGGGAAGCCTATCAGACTCACAGCAGATCTCTCAGCAGAAACCCTACAAGCCAGAAGAGAGTGGGGGCCAATATTCAACATCCTTAAAGAACTTTCAACCCAGAATTTCATATCCAGTCAAACTACGCTTCATAAGTGAAGGAAAAATAAAATCTTTTGTGAACAAGCAAGTACTCAGAGATTTCATCACCACCAGGCCTGCTTTACAAGAGCTTCTGAAAGAAGCACTACACACAGAAAGGAACAACCAGAATCAGCCATTCCAAAAATATACCAAAAGGTAAAGAGCATCAACATAATGAAGAATCTATATCAACTAATGGGCAAAACAGCCAGCTAGCATCAAATGGCAGTATTAAACTCACATATATTATTATTAATCCTAAATTTAAATGACCCAATCAAAAGACACAGACAGGCAAAATGGATAAAAAGCCAAAACCCATCGGTATGCTGCATCCAGACCCATCTCACATGCAAGGATACACAAAGACTCAAAACAAAGGGATGGAGGAAGATTTACCAACCAAATGGAGAGCAAAAAATAAATAAAAAGCAGGAGTTGCAATGCTCGCCTCCGATAAAATAGACTTTAAAGCAACAAAGATCAAAAGAGACAAAGAAGGACATTACATAATGGTAAAAGGATCAATGCAACAAGAAGAGCTAACGATCCTAAATATATATGCACCCAATACAGGAGCACCCAGATACATAAGGCAAGTTCTTAATGACTTATAAAGAGACTTAGACTCCCACACAATAATAGTGGGAGACTTTAACATCACATTGTCAATATTAGATCAACGGGACAGAAAATTAACAAGGATATCCAGGACTTGAACTCAGACCTGGAACAAGTAAACTTAATAAACACTTATAGAACTCTCCACCCCAAATTCACAAAATATACATTCTTATCAGTACCACATCACACCTACTCTAAAAGTGACTACATAATTGGAATTAAATCACTCCTCAGTAATTACATAGCATTTCACAAGTTTAAATGAAATATTGGTTGGCTGCTTGTTATTTTTCTCCCTTATTCCTTCCCGTCTCCATTGTTAAGCACGATTATTGGCATAAAAAAGGTTTTCAACACCCATTTTTAGATTGCATTCTAGCCTGGGCAATAAAGCAAGGCTTCCATTCTCTCTCCCTCTTTCTCTTTCTTTCCCTCTTTCCTTCCTTTTTTCTTTAAAAAAAAAAAATTGGGGGATTACAGGTGTGAGCCATCACATCCTATTTTGCTTTTTAATTTATATATTTTGGACTTTTTCATATCAGTTTATTCATATCAATCCCATTATAACTGCTACAGAGTAATCAATTTTTATTAAAGTATCAATTTATTTATAAGGTTTCTTACTATTAATTACTTAGGTTGTTTTAACCTTTTCATATAATACTGCAATACACAGCTTTGCTTACATTCTTAGGCATCTAGTTAAGTATGCATCTCAAGGATATGAAAAATTACCTAGAAATGGAAATGTTGGGTCAAAAATATGTACGTTAAAACTGGAAATCTCCAATGAGTTTGCATTAATTTATACTTTCATAATTGACATTTTTCCACTCTCTGAAGGACACTGGATGCTATTATAATTTTACTCTTTGCCAGTCTTCTGGGTGAAAAATGAAAGCCCGTTTTCTTGAGACCTACTTATTCCTCTCTATTGCCTGTTTACATCTTTGCTTATTTTTTATTGTCTTATTTACTAATTTGTATATGGTATTATTTATAATCTATACATAGAGGAATTTGGTCCTTTGTAACAAGTATTAGAATTATATCCTCCCAGTTTGTTGTTTGGTGTGGTTCATCATTTTGCTTGTATAGATACTTTAAATTTTTGTGTGATCAAATATTTCCTTGTATTAAGCCTTTCCTACTTAAAGATTATAGTAGATATTTGGCTGGGCACAGTGGCTCACACCTATAATCCCAAGCACTTCGGGAGGCCAAGGCGGGCAGATCATGAGGTCGGAAGATCGAGACCATCCTGGCCAACATGGTGAAACCTCATCTCTACCAAAATACAAAAAATTAGCTGGGCGTGGGGGCGTGTGCCTGTACTTCCAGCTACTCGGGAGGCTGAGGCAGGGGAATTGCTTGAACCCAGGAGATGGAGGTTGCAGTGAGCCCAGATTGTGCCACTACACTCCAGCCTGTCCAGCCTGTTCAGCCTGGCAACAGAGCTTTCTTGCACTGCTTTCATAGCTTCGTTAACAAAATTAAAACAAACAGAAAACCTAATCCTTTGACACACAGGAATTTACTCTGGGGAAACTTATTTAGGATACCACTATGAATTCCCCCCACCCCACCCAACCCCAGCCCAGTTGCTAGCCACAGAAACAAGACATGAACAAATGAATAAAAGCCGAGACACTCAGCAGCACTGATTCCTTGACTCCCTGTGTAGACTCTTATCTCTTGTCAGGCATGTAGCTAGTACCAGATCACCCCTCTGATTCTGGATTTATCCATGCTGGTTAAGTGGAAATGAGGGTGGTGAAGCACACACATTTCCTTCATCTAAACAACGTCTTGTCCATTAATGATTTGTTTTTAAGTACTGCATACCTCTGGAATCTTTGTTAAAAACTTGTACTTTTTTAACAGCAGGGTTTCTTAACAGGGACACTATTGGCATTTTTTTTTTTTTTTTTTTTGAGATGGAGTCTCACTCTGTCACCCAGGCTGGTGTACAGTGGCATTATCTTAGCTCACTGTAACCTCCACCTCCCAGGTTTAAGTGACTCTCCTGCCTCCGCCTCTCAAGTAGCTGGGAACACAGGCGCTGTGCCACCATCTCTGGCTAATTTTTAGTAGTAGGGAGTAGTTTAACTATGTTGGACAGGCTGGTCTTGAATGCCTGACCTCAAGTGATCCACCCACATCAGCCTCTCAGTGCTGGGATTACAGGCAGGAGCCCTGCGGCCGGCATCCCCCACCCCCCTCCTTTTTTTTTTTTTTTTTTTTGAGACAAGGTCTTGCTCTGTCACCCAGGCTGGAGTACAGTGGCTCAATTACGGCTCACTGCAGTCTCAACTTCCCCAGCTCCAGTGATCCTCCCACCTCAGATTCCTGAGTAGCTAGGACCATAGGTGTGCGCCCCACACCCAGCTAGTTTTTGTATTTTTGGTAAAGATGGGGTTTTGCCATGTTGCCCAGGCTGACGTCCAATTCCTGAGCTCAAGCGATCCACCTGCCTCAGCTTCCCAAAGTGCTGAGATTACAGGCGTGAGCCCCTGCACCTGGCACTATTGGCATTTTGGCCAAATAATTATTCATTTTGTGGGCCTGTCTGTGCATTATAGGATGTTTAGTGCAATTCCTGATCTCCCTCCACCCACCAGTAGCACCCTCCCCCTTTTCTTTAGTTGTAGCTTCTATATTGATATAGGCAAACTACTTTTTTCCTTCTTTAGAAGAGGTATTTTATTTTGCTCTTTCTATTACACAGGATATATTTCTTAAGTGTTAAAGTCAAGATACAAACAATATATTCTACAACTGGGCACTACTTTAATTGAACAGGCAAAGAAATTACACTAAACAACAACATCTGGTACTATCTGGCGGAAAATAAAATGACTAAAATAGGTTTAAAGTAGTACTACTAAATCACCTAATATCAATACTACATAACCCAATACAGCTAAAATGCAAAATATGTTAACATCTAAGAATACGACCAAAATTAAAACCAGCAACACCTATATAACTTTTTTAAGCAGGAAAATATTTCGTGTATGCATATAATTGTTCACTCCTTTAATGTAAATCTTTCCCAAAGTTATCAACCTCCAGAAAAACCAGACTCATTAAGCATATTCCTAAAAGTATAAACATGAGCATTTTAAATTAAAAAAAAATTTAAAACATTGTAAACAATAAATGAACTTCCTATTTCTAAGAATGTGAAAAGTCCCGTTTTAAACAGTTTGTAAGCATTGTCTCTTGATGTGAAGTCCACAAATTTTTCTCCTGTTGGGACCAAACTTTACAAAAACACTGTTACAGAACAAGCTACGGCATCTTAGCAATATTATCTTATGTCAAGGTTTACTTTTTTAAAAACTTTTAGATTGCATTTTACTACTCTAAGAAAACACAAACCTTAGATGTGTAGCATTCATTTTTTAAAACTCTTAGAAAAACATATAAAGCTTGGAGAGGCATATTTATTCCCTACCACAGTCCTGGAAGCCTGGAAGATGATTCCCAAGTCTGAGAGAGGTCTTCTCCTTTTCACTGGCTGTTTTTGTTCTTCACATGCGTTAACATATGCGTTTTCAGGTTGGTCGACTGGGCGAATCTCCTATTGCAAATATCGAAAGGGCACACGAAGGGCTTGTCGCCGGTGTGGATGCGCACATGGGTGCGCAAATTGAAATCAAGGGAAAAGCGTTTCCCGCAACCTTCGAACGTGCACTGAAAGGGTTTCTCGCCCGTGTGAACCAGCTGATGTCGTTTCAGCTTTGAGCTCTCAATAAAAGCTTTGCCACATTCTGCACATACGTGGACTCTGGGCCCGTGGATGTGGAGATGTTTCCTCATGGCGCCGTAATCCCTGAACATCTTTTCGCAGCCAATATGAGCGCAAGGGACTGTTTTGGGAGGTTCTTCTTTGGACCTTTTGGGCTTCATTTTAGTAAATTCTGCCAGCTGTTTGGGATCTGAGAGATCGATTCCTGGTAATCCTTCAGGAGGAAGTTTTTTCCCTTTCAAGTACTCGGAATAATCAGGTGAGTTATCAGCCCGGCCTTCACCCACTCTCCCTTTGTCATTGTTATCACTAGGGGACCACATAGTCACGGAAAACTCACCCCCGAGCGTTGTGATCTGCATTTGCTTCTGCCCCCACTTCTTGTTGCCCTCGTTGGGGCTGCTGTCTGCCGGCTTGGCCTCAGTGCTGGTGGCACCGCTGTTGCTGGCCTTTTGGCTGGGCTTTCTGCTGCGCTTTCTGCTGCGGCTCTGTGTTGATGTCGATGCCGCCGAGGCTGCCAGAGAGGCCAGGGTCTGCTGGAAGTGCTCATCTTCACTGCTATCCGGCATGACCAACTGGTCCTCGGAATCATTGCCTGGCACGCCGCCTGAACTGCAGTAGTTCACCACCTCCTCTTGTGTCTGCACCATGATCATTTCCTGGTCGTGGTCGCCATAGCCCATGTTCCCGAAGAGCGGCTGCACCGTGAGCAGAGGCGGGTGGTTGTGGCCACCGTGGACCCAACTGCCAGCAAGATCCTCGTACTGAATGCTTTCCATCGGAATGTCCTCCATAGGAAGGGGCTCCACATTGATGTCCTTGAGATCTACCGGGACCTCCGAGTCTTGTGTGACGTAGAAATCTTCGTTTGAAGCCATGGTTGAGAGTTAGGTAGCAGCCTTAGCTACTGGTGCCTCCGCAGTTTGTAGGCAACTAGAAGACCGTGGGAAAAAGAAGGCTGAAGGGAGTGAGGCGCAAACTGCCGAGAACGGCTGTGCGAGCTGCCGAAGAGGTGCCAGTTGCCGAGAAAGCGGCGCGAGCTGCCGAGAAAGGCGGCGCGAGCTGCCGAGAAAGGCGCGAGTCTGAGAAAGGCGCCAGTCTGAGAGGAAGGCGCGAGTCTGAGAAAAAGGCGCGAGTCTGAGAAAAAGGCGCGAGTCTGAGGAAGGCGCCAATCTGAGGAAGGCGCCAATCTGAGGAAGGCTCGAGCGAGCAGTTGAGGCGGAAGGCCCAAGTGCTTCTGGGATAGCCACGCGCATGCGCCTGTGCATCTGGCGCGCTGCCCCGAAAGCACGTGCACGTGCCCGTGCCCACGTACTCACGTACATGCCCACGTACCCACGCACATGCCCAAGTCCTCAAGTGCGCCACCCTGCGGCCCCGTCCAGCTATTGTTCAAATATTTCGTAAGCAGGCTCTTTACTGATTTTTTAATGTATTTCATTTCAGTTGATTTTCATGTCTTCCCTTCCTTTCCATCCCATATAACAGTATCTGCCATAAAAAAGCCTACTCCTATGCTTTTTTCTCTTATTTAATTTCACTAACATGACATTTAATATCAGTAATAGTAGATAGCAAAATTGCTTGTCTTGTCCTTTAATAGGAATGCTAAGTGTTATGCCATTATTATGCAGCTATTCCTACTTTTACTAAGGATTTTTTTAAAGTATTAATGGATGTTGAATTTTGTTAAATACTGTCTCAATATCTTCTGAGATGAATTTTTCCCTAATGGCAATTAATATTGGTCACATTCAAACTGATTTCCTAATGTTCAACCACTCTTGTATTCTTGATAGGCCATGCATCTGTAGGCTGTTTTGTGCTTCACCAGATGTTGTATCAGTGTTGTACTTGGCTTTAAGAAAAAAATCTTAGTTTTCTTCTCTATATGATCTGGAAAGTTTATACTAAATTGGAATTTAAAAGAATAGTTTTTCATTCAAGGTATGAAAGAATTCCACATAGGAAAGGGCATTCTTAGCTGGGTGCAGTAATCCCATGCCTGTAATCCCAGCACTTTGGGAGGCCGAGGCAGGAGGATCATTTGAGGTCAGGAGTTTGAGACCAGTCTGGCCAACGTGGTGAAACCCTGTCTCTACTAAAAATACAAAAATCAGCAGGCATGGTGGCAAGTGCCTGTAATCCTAGCTGCTAGGGAGGCCGAGGCAAGAGAATTGCTTGAACCCAGAAGGCGGAGGTTGCAGTGAGCCAAGATCACAGCACTCCAGCCTGGGTGACACAGTGAGACTCAGTCTCAAAATAAAAAGAAAGGGCATTCTTCATCAACTTTCTTAATTTCTCCTGTTGTAATTATTTGTCTATTTAGATTTTTTTGATTGCCTCTCGGGTTAATTTCAGCTATTTTTATTTTCTTAGATTTATCCAGGTTTTTGAAACTTTTTTGCAGAGATGAGTAAAGAACACTTATAATTGTTTTTATTTTCTCTGTTATCAATCATCATTCTCCAGTCTGATAGCTAATTGTCTTTAGATGCTTTTTCTTATTGTTCAACTAATCTTTTTTTTAAGAACTCTTCGATTTAACAGATCTAGTTTTGTTTTTTTCTAATTTATTATTTCTGCCTATATCCTTACTAATTACATCATCATTTCTTAATTATTTTACAGTTCTTTTCTCACTTAAGTTGAATACTTAACTGATCTATTTCCATTTCTAATACCATAACTGTCTAAGTCAGTGCATTTTTCTTTTAGCAAAACTTTAAACATTATCTCAGTACAATGATTTCATCATCATCATTTTTAGATACACTGAAATCACAGGTTTGAATTAAATTAATCCAAGGTGTGATTAATATAAATTTCAAAATTTCAGGTAGTTTTTACTTAGGCTGCTAGTCTTCTCTTGGGAATTTACTGAAGCTTTCTTTTAAGTCCCATGGGCACTTGAAAAGATATTGTCTTCTGTGTTCATGGCATAGAGTTTAACATATTTTTCAAGCTATTTTTGCCTTAGCTTGACCTTTTTATACCTATCTGCCATGTGTAAAAAGGTGAGTTTTTAAAATTACCTTTCTGTTTCTTCTTGTACTTTTCTCTTTTTTGTTTTGCTTTGATGATTTGTTACTTGATATGGTAAGATTCAAACTGTTATGTTTTCATTGTGGCTTATATTCCTTATTATTGTTAAATGGCCCCTAATGCCTAACATAATGCTTTTGGTCTTATTTTCTGTTCCCATTTGCATGTTATGTTCTGCTCATCATTTTACTTTACATATTTTCGAGTAATTATTTAGACGGATTTCTTTTGTACATCACACATTTGGGACATGTTTTAAATCCAAACTAAGGGCATCTTTCTTTCAGGAGGTGAGCTTATTTCATTTATGTTTATTGAAAAATAAATGTGTTTTGGTCTTAAATTCATTACCATGGTTTATATTTTGATATAGTGTCTGTTTTCTTTGGTGTGTGTTTCATGCTTTCACTGTGATAACTGAAAAGTCTGTGTTTTTAGATCTTATAGTATTTATATTTATAATCTTAAGTGATATACTCAAGCCTCTATTTCTTGATTTATCAAATTCAGGCAGATGTTCTCTCCACTAAGAAGTTGAGGAAATTAGTATTTCTATTTCCTATTTTTGTTTTTTCCACCTTCAATTTTTATTTATTAGTTTGAGAATTCTAATTCCACACTTGCTTAAGCCTCAGTTATTCCATTAAAAGTGATAGAGGGGTGTAATGGATTTGTCTTATGTCAATTTCACTTAGATGGAACTGTGGTTCCCAGAATTTCTTCCCTACATAGTTATATATCTCCAAGGGATTCTGTTTCTCTGACAACTTTGACAGTGCCAGAGTTCACTAACCATCCTTTCATAACCCTTCTTCTCCATTCCTGGATACTTTTATCTGTTAGTTAATTCTTCATGTTTTCCCTTGATTTGATGCAAATTTCATTCTAATTTCAGCTGAGTTGACATTCTTTATAGTTTGTGATTTCATGTTGTGGACAAAACAAAGTTTTCCTCTGTTTTTAAATTTTTAAAGAAATAAATTATGTTGTTTTTAGTTGGTTTTATGGAAGAAACTGGAATGTAAATTATTTTACCCTTCTACTTTTGAGGGGGCCTTATAAACTGAAGTTATTAACCAAAAGATAAGATATTGCTATTTGTGATATATTTTCCAAAAATCTAACCATAGAAAATCAAAACCAAAACCACAGATGAATATTAAAACAAAATTAAGTCTGTTACCTGCACAAAATATCCTTAGCTGCTGGACTGGCGATATAAGTTGCAAATGAGTGGTGAACAAATCAACAAATGCTCCAGGATAAATAATGAAGAGAAAAATCCCAAAGCCATTAAATCGAACTTGTTCCCTAAGAAACCACATAAGAGAAAGGAGTTTACTAATACTATTGTATTTGTCAAATTAATAGTGTACATATTCTTAAAACTTTTCACTGTAATTAGAATTCTTGCTTAAGAAACAAAAAGTCTCTCTGAACAGCCAAAAAAATTGTATCTATACTATACATAATCTTTTTTTGAGACAGAGTCTCACTCTGTCACCAGGCTGGATTGCAGTTGCGTGATCTCGACTCAATGCAACCTCCGACTCCCTGGTTCAAGGGATTCTCCTGCCTCAGCCACCCAAGTAGCTGGGATTACAGGCATGCGCCGCCCAGCTAATTTTTGTATTTTTAGTAGAGATGGGGTTTCACTACATTGTCCAGGATGGTCTCAATCTCCTGACCTCATGGTCCGCTGGCCTCAGCCTCCCAAAGTGCTGGGATTATAAGGCGTGAGCCACCGCACCTGGCCTATAAGCTTAATTTTATAATAATGTACAGATTTGGTTATCTGTGAAATTGAATTTTGTAAAATAGGGCATACTGAAATAGACTTCAAAATTTTTAGAAACCAATGTGTTGAGCAAATAATTGAAATCAGTCACATATATACAGAAATGGCTTTTATGAGAAACTAAATGAAAAACATTTTTGTGGTTTACTCTGAACTATTTTCAGGAGACTATATAATTCAAGTAAATTACCTAGTAACTTATATTTGTCTTAGCAATTATAAATAATGGTGAAGATTTATCTAAGTGTATTCCTATCGAGCTAATGTTAAATAAGTGTGTTTAAACATGCATAATGCTCAGATTGTCCTTAAGAGAACCAGTTTTTTCAGGTTTTGATCTCCATATTAACAAAAAAAAAGAGAGAGAACCATTTTTTATCACTTACTTTTCCAAAAGTTATTATTACATTTAAGTCTCATAAAACTAAACAGCCCCCCTAGAAAAAAGCATCACTTAAATATATGCTGTTGCTTAATACTAAATATGTAAGACAACTGTACAGTTCATTTTTCTCTTGGCAGTTGGCATTTAAAAAAATTACCCAAGTTATTTTACAAATATACTGTAAATTATTAAGCTGTAATTAACGATGTGTCCACAGGTAAAATCCTAAAGGCTGCAAAGCTAAAAACATGGAAGCAAAAGTGAAGGAGGTTTAAAAAGAAAAAAAAACCCAGCAGCTGCCACTTTAAACCACTATTGTGCACACCTGTGTAACAGTATATGCTCTGACAAGATGAGGATTTAATGTCAATAGACTCTTGTTCATAAGCAACTGGAAAGTAATAAGAAGTGATTACATCTTCTCTTCCAAAACAGAGGTTTTTAACCTTTTCTCTGGTCCACCCACAAAAATGATAAAACGCATTCCTATCAGCATGCTTACTAATTATGGTAGTAATTATCACTGGAGGTAGCAGGGGAGTTGCGACATGGCCCTCTCCCCATCATGATTTTATATGTTTTATAGGCTTTTGAATGCTTAGGTACAGTTACAATGATACATTTGGTTAGTCAAGACCAAGAACAGGGCATGATACTCAAAGCTAGTCCCAGGTCTCATCTTCTTATCTTCCACTTGGGTTTCTAGATAGACTATGGTATTTGTTAAACCCAGTGCTTTTCAGTTTTCAGTAGCCAGCAGAGGACATAAGCAGAAGCAGGAAATTATTTCGGCTGCTAAGTCAAATAAAGTTCTACCGTGAGTGGGTTTTGACTAGAGTGGTTATCATTCTGACCCAATGATGAATAGAAAGATTGGCTTTCAGGATTGGGT